AGTGAAAAGCCTACATAATGTATGATTCCAACTGTATGACATTCTGGTAAAGGCACAACAATGAAGACAGTAAAAAAAATCAGTAGCTGTCAGGAGTTTGAAGGGTGGGATGGATGAAAAGGTGGGAGTACAAGGGATTTTTAGGGCAGTGTTAACTACTCTGCATGATACTGTAATGGTGAATGCATGTAATTTTAAATTTATCAAAAACAAATATAATATATAATGCAGAGTGAACCCTAATGTAAACTATAGATCGTAGTTAATATCAGTATTGGCTCAATTATAATAAATGTACCATACGAATGCAAGGTAGTAGTAATAAAGAAAACTGGTTTTATTCTGGGGTGTTGTGAGAGGATATATAGAAACTGTACTGTCTCAATTTTTCTGTAAACTTAAAACTCTAAAAAATAAACCCTATTAAAAAATGATAATGTATATTCTTCAGTTGTTGTATGAAATGTTCTATAAATGCCAATTAAATCTTGTTGATTTACAGTACTTTTTTTTTTTTTTTTTAAGATTTTTATTTATTTATTTGACAGAGAGAGTACAAACGGGAGCGGCAGGCAGAGGGAGAAGGAGAAGCAGACTCCCTGCTGAGGATCCTGTGTCTCTGGGACCATGACCTGAGCCAAAGGCAAATGCTTAACGCACTGACCCACCCAGGTGCCCCACTGAGTTCTTCTATACACATACTGATAGTCTTGTCTCATTGTGCCAATTGTGAAAAGACTGCTGAGTCTTACAATTCTATTGTTTGGTACATGCACTTTAGAACTGCCTTTTTTTTTTTTGAGAGAGAGAGACCGAGAGAGAATGTGGAAGTGGGAGAGTGGAGGGGGGAGGGGCAGAGGGAGAGAATCTTAAGCAAACTCTGCACTGAGGGAAAAGCCTGATGTGGGGCTCGATCTCATAACTTTGAGATGGTGACCTGAGTCGAAATCAAGAGTCAGACACTTAACCAAGTGAACCACCCAAGCGCCCCAGGACTGCCATATCTTATAAGTGAATTTTATCATTACAAAATGTTTGTGTGTGTGTGTGTGTGTGTGTATATATATATATGTATTTTTTTTTTTTTTTGGTCTAAAGCCTACTTTATCTGATAATAAAATAGTCACTACTGGGGCACCTGACTGGATCAGTCGGCTAGAGCATATGACTCTTGATCTTGGGGCTGTAAGTTCAAGCCCCATGTTGGCTGTAGAGATGACTTAAAATTAAATCTAAAAAAAAAAAGTCACTACTGCTTCCTTTGATTGAGGTTTGCATGGCATATCTCTGCCTACAACTCTACCTTCAATCTGCTTATATAATCATATTTGAAGTGAGTTTCTTATTAACATATAACTGGGTCCTGGCTATTACTCTACTCTGACAGTCTCTTGTCTTTTAAGTGACAGTCTCTTGTCTTTAAGTGTCTTAAGTGCATTTAGACCATTTAAATCTAATGTAACTGTCAATATGTTAGAGCTAACCTCTGCCATTTTATTTTTCCTTTGTTCTCTTAGTTTTCTATTTTTTTTTACATGCATTATATATATACACACACATACACACGTTACTTACAACAGTCTACTACTATCAACATTTTACTAGTTCAAATCAAGTGTAAAAACCACCCCTCCTTTATGACCCTTGACCCTCTCCCAATTATACCATATTTGTCTTAAGTATTACCTTTAAGTACAATTTACATACAACACCAAAACCATGATCCACGAAAGAAATAACTGGGTAAGTTAAACTTAACTAAAATAAGTCACACTGCTTTGTACAAAACAGTACAAAGTGAAAAGACAAGCTAGAGACTAAGAGAAGATTTTGTAAAACACTATCAGATAAAGGATGTGTACCCAAAATATACAAAGAACTCTCTTTTTTATAAAGATTGTATTTATTTAAGAGAGAGATAGCACAATTGAGAGTGAGAGAGAACATGAGCAGGGGGGAGGGGCAGACGGAGAAGCAGACTCCTTGCTGAGCAGGGTGCCTGACACGGGGCTCGATCCCAGGATCCCAGGATCATGACCTGAGCCAAAGGGAGATGCTTAACTGATTGAGCCACCGAGGCGACCCCATAGAAAGAACTCTTAAAACTCAACAATAAGGAAACAAGAAACCTAGTCAAAAAAATAAGCAAAACATCTGAACAGTAACCCAAAGAAAATAAGGAGATGAAAACATGTACAACATATGTCATAAGAGAACTGCAAATTAAAACAATGAAATACCGCTACACACCTATCAGAATAGCTAAAATATTTTTAAAAAGCAAAAACAAAAAATAAAACAAAACTGATAATACCAAATGCCAGCAAGGACAAAGAGCAACAGAAACTCTCATTCATTGCTAGTGAGAATGCAAAATACCACAGCCACTGTAAGATAGTTTGGCAGTTATTATAAAATTAAACACACTCTTACCATACAATTCAGCAGTCATGCTTCTTGGTACTAGAACTGAAAATTTATGTCTACTCAACAACCTGCACAAGGATGTTTATAGCAGCTTGATTTATAAAGATATGGGTTTACTTAATAATACATCAATTGTCAAAAATTAGAAGCAATTAAGATGTTCTTCAGTAGGTGAATGGTAAGTAAACATCCAGACACTGAATTATTATTCTCTGTTAAAAAGAAATGAGCTGGGGGTGCCTGGGTGGCTCAGTCGTTAAGCATCTGCCTTCGGCTATCGGGCTCCCTGCTCGGTGGGAAGCCTGCTTCTCCCTCTCCTACTCCCCCTGCTTGTGTTCCCTCTCTCGCTGTCCCTCTCTCTCTCTCTGTCAAATAAATAAATAAATAAATAATCTTAAAAAAAAAAGAAAGAAAGAAAGAAATGAGCTATCAAACCATGAAAAGACATAGAAGGATCTTAAAAGCACACTGCTAAGTGAAAGAAGCCAGTCTAAAAAGGCTACATACTATATAATTCAGACTACATAACATGGAAAAGGAAAACCTACAGAGACAGTAAAAGGATCACTGGTTGCCAGGAACTTCAGGGAGGCAGGGGAAAGGAAGGGATGAACAGATGATGCACAGGGGAAACCATTTTCTATAATACTATCATGTTAGATACATGACATCATACCATTTTTCAAAACTCTTAGAACTGTAGGATGCAAAGAGAAAAGCTTAATATAAACTATCCTTAACAATAATATGACTATAAGCTCATTTATTGTAATAAATGAACCACACTAATGCAAGATGGGCAAACTGTATGATGGGGAGGGAGTCGTATGGGAACTCTCTGTACAAGCTGCTCAACTTTTCTGTAAGTCTAAAACTATTCTATAAATAAAATTAATTAAATTAAATTAACTTTAATTAATAGATTTAAAGACCTAAATGGGGCGCCTGGGTGGCTCAGTCATTAAGCGTCTGCGTTCGGCTAGGGTCATGATCCCAGGGTCCTGGGATCGAGCCCCGCATCGGGCTCCCTGCTTGGAGGGAAGCCTGCTTCTCCCTCTCCCACCCCCCCACTTGTGTTCCCTCTCTCACACTGTCTCTCTCTGCCAAATAAATAAAATCTTAAAAAAAAAAAAAAGACCTAAATGTAAGAGGTGAAATGATAAAATAAGAAGAAAACATAGAATATTGTTTCTACTTTGGCATAGGAAAATATTCGTTAGATAAAAAACATGGACCCATAACTACATGGTCAACTAATCTTCAACAAAGCAGGAAAGAATATCCATTGGGAAAAACACACTCTTTTCAACAAATGGTGTTGGGGAAAACTGGACAGCAACATGCAGAAGAATGAAACTGGAACACTTTCTAACACCATACATGGAAATAAATTCAAAATGGATGAAAGACCTAAACGTGAGACGAGGAACCATTTAAAATTCTAGAGGAGAACACAGGCAGAAACCTCTTTGACACTGGTCTTAGCAACTTCTTACAAGACACATCTCTGGAAACGGGGGGAAAAAAGCAAAAATCAACTACTGGGTCTTCATTAAGATAAAAAGCTTTCCTTTGCTTCTACACAGCAAAGGAAACAATCAACAAAACTAAAAGGCAACCTACGGAATGGAAGAAGATACCGGCAAATGCCGTATCCGATAAATGCCGTAATATCCAAAATCTTGAATTTATAAAACCCAAGCCCAAAAGACAAATAATCCAGTTAAGAAATGGACAGAAGACATGGATAGGTATTTTTCCAAAGAAGACATACAGATGAACAACAGACACATGAAAAGACACTCAACATCACTCACCGTCTGGGAAATAGAAATAAAAACTACAATGAGATACCACCTCACACCAGGTGTTTGCAAGGATGTGGAGAAAGGGGAACCCTCTTACACTGTTGTTGGGAATGCAAATTGGTGCAGACACTCCAGAAAATAGTACAGAAGTTCCTCAGAAAGTTAAAAATAGAACTATCCTACAATCCAGCAATTGCACTACTAGGTATTTACTCAAAGAATACAAAAATACTGATTTGAAGGGATACATGCACCCTGATGTTTATAGCAGCATTATCAACAAGAGCTAAATTATGAAAAGAGCCCAAATGTCCATCAAATGATGGATAAAGAAGATGTGGTAAATATATACAATGGAATATTACTGAGCCATCAAAAAGAATGAAATCTTGCCATTTGCAGTGACGTGAAGAAGCCAGAGTGCAAGCAAAATAAGTCAGTCAGAAAAGACAAATACCATATGATTTCACTCATATGTGGAATTTAAGCCACAAAACAGATGAACATAGGGGAAGGAAGAAAAAAAGATAGGGAGGCAAACCATAAGGGACTCCTGACTACAAAGAACAAACTGAGAGTTCCTGGAGGGGAGGTGGGTGGGGGATGGGCTAAATGGGGGATGGATATTAAGGAGGGCACTTGTGATTAGCACTGGGTGCTATATGTAAGTGAAGAATCACTAAATTCTACTCCTGAAACCAATATTACACTATATGTTAACTAGAATTTAAATAAAAACTGGAAACAAAAAAATAAAGTACATACCATCTAAGAAAAAAACTTTATGAAATGGATTTCATCAAAAAACTTCTGGTCTTTGGGATACCTGGGTGGCTCAGTTGGTTAAGCGTCTGCCTTCAGCTCAGGTCATGATCCCAGGATCTTGGGAGGAAGTCCCACGTCGGGCTCCTTGCTCAGCAAGGAGCCTGCTTCTCCCTTTGCCTGCCGCTCCCCCTGCTTGTGCTCTTTCTGACAAATAAATGGATGAAATCGTTAAAAACAAAAACAAAAGTTAAAAAAACAAAAAGCAAAAAATCTTCTGATCTTTTAATGACATCCTTAAGAAAACCAAAAGGCACCCCAGGGAATGGGAGAAAATACTCAAAATACTTATATCTGACAAAGGACTTACACCTAGCAAATATGAAGAAACATTCTATGTCAATGTTAAGACAAGCAACCCAATTAAAAATGAACAAAAAATTGACCAGACATTTCACGGAAGATATAAATGTCAAATAGCACATGAAAAGATATTCAAGACCATAATTACTGGGAAAATACACATTAAAATGACAAAATACTACCAAACACTTATTAGAATGGCTTTTTTAAAACATGACATGCTGGTGAAGGTGTAGAACATCTGGAAATTCATACATTTCAGGTGGGAATATAAAACAGTAAAGCTTTTTTGGGAAAACTATTTTGCAGTCTCTTGTAAGGTAAGATATACTCTTACAATATGACCCAGTTATCCTACTCCTAGGTATTTGCCCAAGATAAAACTAAAAATACATATCCATACCAAAACTGGTGTGAAATATTCAGGGGCTTTATTCACCACCCAAACCTGGAGACAACCAAAAAGTCCTTCAACAAGTGAACAAATAAACTAAAGTACTATCAATTTTAATTTATTTATAAATTATATCTTGATGTGGGAAACAAAGGCAGAAGAAAAATTATTAAATTTCCTTACTACCTACAGCCCATTGACAAGTCCTTGGAACAGGCAGAGTGACATTCCTCTAGGGACTCAACTGCCTCGATGTTAATACTTGCTAAGGGCAAAAGGCAATCCTAGTCTGACGCTCCCCTCCCCCATCCTGTAAGTCTACTTTAACGTATAAAAATTCCCTTGGAAACTTCCTTTATCTCCAACCCCCCCAAGTTACGTGTTGGCAATCATCCCCCAAGCATATGGCCCACCGATATACATCTGAAGGGTCTCATGACTAAGGTTTTATTAGACGGTAATAAATGACCTTTTCCCAACAATAGCTAGCCCCCTCAAGGTCCTGGAAACCTTGCTTCCAAATTCCTTAGAGACTTAACACTATCCCTAACCCCCTCCCAACTTGAAAGTATATAATGGGCCATTCCTCATGACCCCATTGCAGCTCTTTCTGCCCACAGGTCCTGTCCCTGTGCTTTAATCAAATCACCTTTTTGCACCAAAGACATCTTAAGAATTCTTTCTTAGCTGTCGGCTTCGAACCCTAACATCTTTCCTACATCATCTAAGTTGAAAAAAAAGGAAGAAAGATAATTAACAAACTCAAGGAAAATATTTGTAATTTATCTCCACATAGGGCTACATTCCATTAAACATAAAGAATTCCTTAAAATTGCAGAAAATTTATCAAAACTCTTTTTTTTTCCAAATTGGAACAGTTTATAGAGAGAAAGATAAAGAACTCATGTCACAAGCCCCATGGCAAAAAAAAAAAAAAAAAAAAAAACCCACAACAGAGGTCTCCTGCAAAATTTCTGAACTTTCTTGAATAGCTTTTAAAGGCGGGATGCCTGGGTGGCTCAGTTGGTTAAGCCTGTGCCTTTGGCTCAGGTCATGATCCCAGGGTCCTGGGAAAGATTTGTGCATCAGGCTCCTAGCTCAGCATAGGGCTCCTTGCTCAGCATTCAGGCTCCTTGCTCAGCGTGGAGCCAAATTATCAAAACTCTTAACAGATAAATAGGAAAAAAGGGAATTAACTACTTGCATAAGAAAAGCCTATAAACATGATACTTCAGGGGCGCCTGGGTGGCTCAGTCGTTAAGCGTCTGCCTTCGGCTCAGGTCATGATCCCAGGGTCCTAGGATCAAGCCCCGCATCAGGCTCCCTGCTCCGCAAGAAGCCTGCTTCTCCCTCTCCCCCTCCCCCTGCTTGTGTTCCCTCTCTCGCTGTGTCTCTGTCAAATAAATAAATAAAATCTTTAAAAAAAAAAAAAAGATACTTAAAAATGAGAAAAACTTTAAACTCACTCAAAGTTTTTAAAAATACAAATTTAAAAAACACTGGGATGCCATTCTTCACCAAATTGGCAATATTTTTTAAATATGAAAACTGGGAAAAAATAAAAAGAGCTAAGATGGCGGCATAGTAGGAGGACCCTAGGCTTGCCTCATCCCTCAAATACAGCTAGATAACTACCAAATCACTCTAAATACCCAAGAAATCAACCTGAGAACTGTCAGAACAAACTGTACAACTAGAGGGATAGAAGAGACCACATCAAGGAAGTTGGGAAGTGCCAAGAGGTGCTTTGAGGGAGAAACGGACTGTGGGTGCTGTGGCGGGGAGGGAGCCCTGGTCTCGGAGAAAGGCAAGAGAGAGTGGTATGCACAGGGATACACACAAGAACACTTCTCCAAAGCCACTGACTGGGAAAACCAGATAGGCTGGTTTTCATGAGTTTTTATAACCAGCAAGGCTTAAAGCCTTGAGTTTTAGAGGTCCACAGGTTTGGCTGGGATAGAGACCTGGGGACACTGCCCTACTCCTGGAGAGAAGGCAGGCAAGCAACCCAGGGCAGATGGCACCATCTGAGGACTGCCCATGGCACATGGGGACAGACTGTTCACTCTCTTCCTGGAGCGTTATCTGCGAGAGGTGACTTTGCCTCTCCCGGGGACAAAAGGGACAAAAGAGCCAAGGCCGCGATTTCCCTCCCCCGTCCCTCAGAATAGGCAGAGAGACACGGGCTGAGGGTGGATAAATCAGACACTGGCTGTTTAGCCTGTTTTACCCCTGCACTCTTGCGTGACTGCCCTTCTTGATCAAACCTGCATTAGTTCCAGTGGAGTGAGACCCTACCCCAGAAGACTATCGCAGGTCCCCAGCACACCTAGTCCCTAAAGTTTGGAGTTTTGGAAAGTCAGCAGCCTTGGCTGGGATAGAGCCCAAAGTGCAATGAACTGCTCCAGGAAGGCAAGCAACCTGGAGACAGTATGAAAACAGTGATCTGAATAACACATGGGACACACGAGAGGAAATTACTCACTTTGCTGGGAGTTCTTCCCTGAGAGCAGCAAGCACAAACTCCCTCTCCAAGGGAAAAAGGACTGGGTGGCGCCATTTCCCTCCACGGCCTCTCAGCACAAACCAACTTCAATAAACAGCACAGCCCCAACACTGGCTGCCTGGCTGCCTAACCTGCTTACCTGCTTTCACGGAGTCTCTCCTCCCCAGCCCCCGTGCACTTCTGCAGCTAACACTTGACTCCAGCAAGTGTGCATAAGGGAAAGCACAGCAGCCCCTTCCCCAGAAGACCAGTAGAAAGCCAGGCATGCACGACGTCTACCAACCATAGAGTTCTTTTTTTTTTTTAAGATGAGAGAGAGAGCAAGAGAGCGAGCATGAGGAGGGGAGGGAGGAGCAGAGGAAGAGGGAAGAAGTAGGCTCCCTGATGAGCAGGGAGCCTGACGTAGGGCTTGATCCCAGGACCCTGAGATCAAGACCTGAGTCAAAGGCCAACACTTAAGTGACTGAGCCACCCAGGTGCCCCCCGACCACAGAGTTCTGCAAGGCTTCAGTTCTAATGGAAGTAGCATCAGGTCTCATGTAACAAGCAGACCAGATCACACCTAGTTAAAACTCATCACATTCTGGCCAAGATCCAAACACTGCCCACTGCAGGCAAGGAGGACCTCTGCAGATGACTGACCTGAGGGATAGAGCAGCAGAGTGCTGCAAGAGGGAGAGAAGAGGGAGAGTGCTGCATGATATATTCAAAGTGCTGAAATGGGAAATATCTGCAGCCAGGAATACTCTATCCAGCAAGGCTATCATTCAGAATAGAAGGAGAAAATTTCCCAAACAAAAACTAAAGGAATTCATGACCACTAAAACAGCCTTGCAGGAAATACTCAAGGTGACTCTCTGGGTGGGAAAGAAAGACCAAAAGTGACAGACTAGAAAGGGACAGAGAAAATCTCCAGAAACAATGACAAAACAAGTAATAAATGGCACTAAATTCTCATCTATCAATAATCACTTTGAATGTAAATGGACTAAACGCTCCAATCAAAAGACACAGGGTATCAGAATGGATAAAAGAAACAAGACCCATCTGTATGCTGCCTATAAGAGACTCATTTTAGACCTAAACATACCTGCAGATTGAAAGTGAGGGAATGGAGAAACATTTACCATGCAGTGGATGTCAAAAGCAACCCAGACTAGCAATACTTAAACCAGAAAAACTAGACTTTAAACCAAACACTACAACAAGAGATGAAGAAGGACACGGTATTGTAATAAAGGAGACAATTCATACAAGAAGATCTAACAATCATAAATGTATCTGCCCCCAACTTGGGAGTACCCAAATATATACAACAATTAATAACCAACATAAAGGAACTCATGGATAAATATACAGCAAAGAGTAGGGGACTTTATTTTTTTATTTTTTATATTTTTTAAAGATTTTATTTATTTATTTGACAGAGAGAGACACAGCCAGAGAGGGAACACAAGCAGGGGGAGTGGGAGAGGGAGAAGTGGACTTCCCGCCGAGCAGGGAGCCCGATGCGGGGCTCGATCCCAGGACCCTGGGATCATGACCTGAGCCGAAGGCAGACGCTTAACAACTGAGCCACCCAGGCGCCCCAAGAGTAGGGGACTTTAATACCCAACTTACATCAATGGACAGATCATCTAAACAGAAAATCAACAAGGAAAAAAAAAAAAAAAAAGAAAATCAACAAGGAAACAATGGCTTTGAATGACAAACTGGACCAGATGGATTTAACAGATAAATTCAGAACATTTTATCCCAACATTTCTTTTCAAGTACACATGAGACATTCTGCAGAATAGCTCACATATTAGGTCACAAATCAGGCCTCAATAAGTACAAAAAGATTGAGATCATACAATGCATCTTTTCTGACCACAACACTATGAAACTTGAAGTCAAGCACAAGAAAAAATTTGGGAAGACTACAAATACATGGAGGTTAAA